CACGGGGATGGGACAGGCCTCCCGGGGAAAATTCCCGAGGAGGAGCCTGAGCCCCTCAACCACCCCAAGCACACTCTGATGCCAGAGCTGGACTTCTGACCCGATGGGGACCGTGGGGCAGCAGAGGCAGCGGGAGGCCGTTTTGCACCCGGCTATCTCTGCTGCCCCCTAGTGGTCATACCCCAGCACTACTAGCCGATGCCTTGGCCTTGGCCCTGGCCTTGGCCTTGGCCCGGGAATAGAGCTGGGTGGGGATTAGGGGCTGAATTCTGAATCTAGACCAGCTTCATTGATATCAGACCATTCCCAGTCTTCCCCCTGGACACGTGAGGACTTGAACCTAACTCAGGTCGACTAGCCCCAAGGTGGGTTCACGGCCTGCGGTCCCAATTGTCCCACCCCAAGAAGCTGATCAAAACTCCCCAGAGAAGCACACGTTTTGCCCAAGTAGAAGCACAAGCTTCTATCTGGGGCTTTGAGAAGTGAGCACCTCTCTCCTCCTCTTGTCCATCCTGGACTGGGGTCCCCAGAGATACCTGGCTGCTACAGCTGGACCCGCCATACCCACTTGCTTTGCTGGTTGGTGTCTACTCTCCAGAATAAAGGTGATTCATGTTGTCCAAAGGCCAGTGTCTATTCCAGCGGGGGGTGAGGGTGGCTGAGAGGTGTGTGAGAGTATGGCACCAGCCAGGGTTCTAGATTTGAAAGGAGCGATGCCTCCCTGACCAGCTTGTCATCCTGTCTGGGGTTCTACTGTTAGCGCCCAGCCCACTTGGGTTAAAGCATTCAAATGTAGCCTCTTAGTGTGGAAGCTGTTCACACTTTAGTTTAAATGAATTTCTTGGAAACTGCAGGCAGCAGGATCAGGAAGAGGGAAAAGTCAGAGGGAACAGCCCTTCCTTGCCCACTTCCCTGGACCAGTCAGGATGGGGGAGACAAAGGCAGGGCAAGGGCCACAGGCCAGCCTCATGGGGGCCCTCCCGTCCTCTGACCGTGTTCTTGACTGCCCCTCAGACTCCCTTGTGGCCAGGCAGGGCGTTGGGAAACCGCAGTCTGGTGTGGTGAGGTCAGGGTGGCCCCTGGTTTCCCTGGGACCCAGTCCAAGGGTGGCTCTGGGAGTCCCAACCACTTTCCGCCAGCCAGATTGACCTCCTGCCGCTGCTTAGGAATGTCCATGGCTCCCTGTCACCTTCAGACCAAACACCCATGCTCCTCACCCTGGTGTTTGAGGACTTCCAGTTTCATCCTCGGCCTGACACAGATGCTGGTGCACATTCCCCAACCTTGGGGCCTTTGCTCAGGTTGGGACTGGAATGCCGTCTCATCCATCCTCACGCCAGCCCCAATACCACCACCTCCCTGGCCCTCCCTGACTCCCCCAGTGGGACAGCTCTGCCCCTCCAGAGCCCACCTTCTTGGAACTCCAAGCCCTTTCTACCTGGACAGAAACCACAGGCAGCCTTGCCTTCTCTTCCCCCATGAGGTTGGGGGCCCCTGGAGGGCCAGGCTCAGTGAGCGGGAGCAGAATGGCACACAGAAAGGCCATGTGGCAGAGGGACCGGCTCAGGTAAAGGCACAGCAGTTGAGAATCAGTTTGACCAGAGCAGAGGGGAGGGAAAGAATGAGGGAGGTCCTGAAATCTGCTGGGAGGGAGCAGTAGTTAAGGCCCTGGGGTTGAGTCCCTGCCTTGCCTTCAAATGGGTAAGTGACTCTTCCTCTCTGAACCCCCATTTTCCCCTCTGTGAAATGGGTGTGAAAGTGGGGGTAAGACAGCTGTGCTCAATCCTAGCAGACGCTTCACTCATGGAAGCTATTATCCACTCATTCATTTGTTCATTCAACAAATAGTTACTGAGGGCAAGGGTATAGCTCCGTGCTAGAGTGTGTGGCTAGCATGCACGAGGTCCTGGGTTCAATCCACAGTATCTCTGTTAAAAATAAACAAACCTAATTAGCCCCCCCTCAAAAAAATTAGTTATTGAGTACCTACTGCGTGCCAGGCAGTTCTCCATCTTGGGGGCACAGAAATGAACAAACTGGATAAAAATTCTGCTCTCTAGGACCTTACAATACAGTAGGAGAGACAGACAATAAACAAAAAAAGTAAACTGTCTTAGTGTTAATAGATGATGAAAAAATGAGATGGGACATAGGGAGTGTCAGGAGTACAAGGAGGGTGATTTTTTTTTTAAATAGGAAAGGAGGAGTCCAGGAAGACCTTTCTGAAGAGGTGACATATTTGCAAAGACTGGTGAGCATTCCTGGCAGTGGGAACAGCCTGTGCAAAGGCCCTGAGGCAGGACTGGGCCTGGTGTGTGGGAGGAACAGCCAAGAGGCCCATGTGTCTGGAGCAGAGAGCAATGGAGAGAGAGGGAGGAGGAGAGGGCAGGGAGATGGGGCAGGTCCTGTGGAGTCTTGTGAGCTGCGGGGAGGACTTGGGCTATTTACCCCAAGGGAGGTGGGAGGCCTGGAGGGCTGTGGGCAGAGGAAGGGTGGGACCTGACTTGGTGTTTATGATCATTTTTATTATTTTGGCTGCGTTTCTCTTCCTTGCTGTTCTGCGGCAGCCCTGCAGGGGAGGGGAGGGGCACACTCAGGGTTTCCCCACAACCTTTGAGAAGCATTGGCTGGGAAGACAGAGTTTGGGAGACATCCTGTTTTGTTCCCCAACTGTTTGGCAAACACAGTGGTGACTCCAAGGAAACAACCTGGGGGTCATCAGGGCCAGTGGCTGGACCCTCCCTCCTCCTGGCTTAGTGCCCAGAGCCACCAAGCGGGTTAGAACCCCCACCCCACTGCCAGCACACAGCTGGGATCCCTGTCTCAGGGGCAGGCAGTGGGTGTTCAGGAAGGGCATAGTAATCATGTCTCTGCTTGCCTGCACACCCACCCACAGGCAGCCTGCTCAGCACTTAGGCTCTGGGTCTGGGTTCAAATCCTGTCTCTGTCACTTCCCAGTCTGTGGCCTCAGGCACAAGGTACCTCTTCTGGGAAGCCGCCCTGGGTTGGCCCAAGCCCACCAGGCCTGGATCTCCTCGTAGGGGCCCCCTAATCCTGTTGGTACCTGTCTTGGGCTGTATTTTGGCCCTTAAAGGGAAGCCCTTCTGCAATGTGGCATGTCCCCTCCCTGCTTGGGACAGACCCTGTTCCTCTTTCTGCCTAGACAATGCTAAGCTGATGTTTGCTGAGCAACTGGGTACCAGGCATTGAGGTAAACAGGTTACACATGTAACCTCATTTCATGCTTACATCCACCCTATGAGTTGGTCCATTTAGCCAAATATTTATTAAGTGCCGTCTGTGTGCCAGGTATTGTTCTATTGCAGGGGACATAGCAGGGAACAAAAGGCAGGCCTGGTGGAGGTGAGGGAAGAAGCTGCATGGGTGTCTAGGGAAGAGTGCGCCACGCTACGGGAACAGCAGGTGCAAATGCCCTGTGGCAGGACCAGGCCTGGAGAGTTGGAGGAACAGAGAGGAGGCCTGTGTGGGTGACGCACAGTGAGTGAGGGGGAGAGGGAGGAGGTGAGGGCAGGGAGGAAGCAAGACCTTGTGGGCCACGGGGAGGAGTCTGGAAGGGGAAACTGAGGCACAAGCCTGGTAACTGGCCAAGGTGGCCCAGCAGAGAAGAGATTTGAACCAAACCTAGATGTAAACCGGAGGCCAAGAGAGTAAGCAGGCAGTGCCTTGGGGGTACAGGAAGGCCCATGAATCACTCAGCCTGGTCGGGGCGGGTGCCGTGGGCAGAAGTTGCCTGGTGCTGAGAGCAGGGAAAAGGTGCTGGGCCCGGGGCCCACACTGGGCCAGGCAGGCAGGCATGTGACCGTCCAGGGACCTCCCCTGGCCCTCTGGCCGCCTGCCTCTCGCGGCCAGGCCTGCACCGCCCCAGACCCTATAAGGCCTGGGAACAGAGAGCAGAGCCAGCTGCCAGCGGTGCCGCCCGTCACTCCCGGGGACTACCACACAGTCCAGGTGGGCAATGCCAGGGCGAGGCCGGCCTCCAGGCGGGCGCTGGGGACTCCTTGGGGTTCTGAGTGTGCGGCAGGAGGCCCGGAGCCCCCTTTCACGCTCTTTCTCTGCCTCCTTCTAGCTTCTTAGAGGATTACCATGTCTGCTCAAGATGAAGGAGGCCGGGACCCCCCTAAACCCAAGGGCAAGGTGAGAGGAGGCAGGAGGGTGAGACTCCAGCTGGGGCATGGAGAGCCCCCAGAACCCTGGGAAAGGGAACTCCAAAGTCCTGGGGTCCAGCGGGGCTTCCCCAGGCGGACTGGGAGGGCTCTGAGAGCCACAGTGCCAATCTTCTCTCCAGTCTCAGGCTGGAGGGTGGGGGACACAAGCCTCAGCTCCTTCCCCTCTGTGTGACCTTGGGCCTGCCTTGGCTCCTCTCTGAGCCTCAGTCTCCCCATCTGTGAAATGTGGGCCATGGAAGGAAAAGGCCTCTGGAGACGTAGAGGAGGAACTTTTCCTCTGTCCACGGGAGGCAGGCTGAACCTGCCCACTGCCCAGGCGAAGAGACTGAGGCTCAGAGTGGCTAGTACACGTCCCTGAGGTTGCCCAGGAGCAAGGGCCCAAGGCGGTTTGGAACCCAGGGCTGTCTGATGCTTCCCTTGCCCCACCCCCGCCATAGCCTGGCTCCACTCATGTTGTCCCCCACCCCATGTAGACCCTGGGCAGCTTCTTCGGGTCCCTGCCTGGCTTCAGTTCTGCTCGGAACCTGGTGGCCAACGCCCACAGCTCAGCAAGAGAGTCCCGGCCAGCTGCAGATCCTGCAGGTGCTCCAGTCCCCGAGGCCCAGGGTGAGTGCACAGCTCCATGGAGGCGGGGGCTCTGGAGGTGGGCCTCAGGAATGGGGGTGCTCTAGCAGGGACTCCTGCCCATCTTGGGGGGGGCACTTCATATGTGCCTGCATCATCTCAATAGACCCTATGAGGCTGGCACAGTTATTTAGCGCCAGATGGGAAACTGAGGCATAAATGTGGAGGGGGAGTAGTCTGAGGTGGCACAGCCAGTGAGATGAGGGTGTGAACACAGCAGTGCCCCCCACACTCTCAACCCCTTCTCTGCCTACCCTCACCCCATTTCAGATGCACCAAGGACCAGGGGCTGGGTGTTCTGCATGTCTCAGCTCATCGCAGATTTTGACCGTGTTCCCAGAGGGAGGCAGCAGCTTCCCTGAGGTCACACTGTTGCTCAGCCGGGGTGCCCGGGGCAGCCCCAGCCCCACGGCCGGGAGACAAGCTAGGGCAGGGGAGTGCAGGTTGGAGCAGCTGCCCGGGCTGGGCCCTGCTCTGGGCCTGGAGCCCCAGCCAGCTGACTTCTGTTCCATGTCCTCAGGCCCACAGGCAGCTGCCAGCGGGGGTGGGGGTGGGGCAGAGTGAGCCCCGACTCCTCTCCCTGCAGCTCCCCTGGGTGGGCACCCAGCACCCAGGACCCAGGCAGAGAAAACTCCACAGAACCCCTGCTCCAGGGGACCAAGGCCCTGGGGATTGAGGGAGCCCCCGGCGGGGCTAGTGACTGAGCCAGGCCCAAGGCTGTGGATGTCACCTTCTGCTGTCCCTGTAGGGAGGCTAGGACATTCCTGACCTTTCAGGCTTTGCCCACTGATTGTGCAATGGGCACCAGGGCGGCTGATGCCAGCCTGTGTCCCTCGCCCTCCCTGGGTTGTCTGACTGGCTCTTGTCCCCACAGCGGCCACCGACCTGCAGCAGATGGCCAAGGGGGCAGAGAAGATGCTGCCACCTTCAGACAAGGTGAGAAAAGCTGGCAGAGCCTAGTCTGATGGCTTCCGTCTTCCTCTGGGCTACCTCCTCCTGGGATGTTTTGGTTCCTGCCATCTGGGGTGCTGTCATAGGCCAGGGTGAGGGCAGGCACCCCTGTGTGTCCCACTGTGGGATTCCAGGCAGTCTTCCTCTCTAGACCTTTGTTTCCACATCTGTGAAATGGGTGCAGTACTGCCTCACTACCTGAAACAATAAGGCTCCATACGGTCTACACACCTACCACCCCGCTCCAGGCCTAACTGAAACAGTGGTAACTCACTCACCACCTGTTAGGGTCTGGGCTAAGCACTTCACACGTGCTGTTTAGTAATTAACCCTCCCAACCGCCCTGCGAGGAAGGGAGCAGTAGTACCCTGCACAATAGCTGAAGCACAGAGATGCCAAGCTACCTGCTGAAGGTCACACAGCCAGACATGGTAGTGTGGGATCTGAACCTTGGGCAGGCAGAGGCTGAATAATAGCTGACGCTGCATCTACCCTCGGTCTTGGATAAATGGCGACCGCCCATGTTATCGTGTCCCCAAGGCCAGGACAAGCAGAGTGGCTGGTGTAGGACAGCTGAGGGCCACAGCAGGCATGGCAGAGCCCTAATTTAACCCTTCCACCCAGCACACGCCCCACTCTGGAGCCTTCCTCAACTCCCCTCTGCCCTCAATTCAGCCAGACTGGAGCATCTCAGAGGGGGAAGAACCACCAGGCTCACCCTCTGGCCCAAATTAAGACAGACTCCAGCAGCTGAGGGGCCCCCTGCATCTTTTCTCCCTGCCCCCTCCACTCATCCTCATTCGTGTTAATGGAGCACCTGCTACTTGCAAAGTGCTCAGGGCTTCTCAGCCTCAGCCTTCTGGACAATACACGGCTGGGTCACTCACTGTAGGGGGTGTCCCAGGCGCTGGGGGGTGTGCAGCGGCCTCCCTGCCCTCAACCACTCCATGCCTGGAACACCCACTCCCCGAAGTCATCACCACGACAGGTGTCCCCAGACATCGCTGGGGGTAGGATCGCCCCAGCTAAGAACCCCTGAATTGGAAACAGCATGACCTGGGGGGTGGCGACCCTGAGGCCACCACAACCCTTCAGCAGTTTAAACGATGAACTAGAGAAAGCTGCCCTTCGGAGGGTCAAAAACTCAAGTTACTGACAGCTGGCTGTGGTGCGCGCCCTGTGCTTCACCTGTGCTTTTCTTATTTTTCTAAACGTTGATCCTCTTCTCTTACTTGAATACACTCATTTTAAGAAGCATCTGGTCTCCTCAAACTTCTCCCTATAATGAGAAAACCAGGCTGAAAATTTGCCATAAGTAGAGATTAGGCAAGATGAACAATTGTGTGATTCAGTGGCCTGCTGAGCGAGCCCAGGAGGGTCCCAGAAGTGCTCAGAAGCAGTGTCAGTGGTGGGGGGATCCTCCTGAATCAGGGGGACCACTGTGACAGAGCTTGTTGAGGCTGTGTCCTGAGAGCAGGGGGGAGGTATGCTGGGTGGGAGCTGAGCAGGCAAGGCTGATGGGGGGGGTCCCTCTCCCCAGGGCACATGAGGAATCAACGGAGGAGGTTGGGGGTGGTTAGGTGCCTCTCAACTCTACACTTGATCATGACTGTACTTCCTCATTAGATGATCTCTGGAGCAAAGGACCTGGTGTGCTCCAAGATGACCAAGACCAAGGATGCCATCTCCTCTGGGATGGCCAGCGTGGTGGACACAGCTAAAGGCGTGGTCCAGGGAGGCCTGGGCATGACCCGATCGACACTCACAGGCACCAAGGATGCTGTGGCCAGTGGGGTAACAGGGGCAGTGGGTGTGGCCAAAGGGGCCGTTCAGACAGGTGTGGACACCACCAAGACTGTGCTGACCGGAACCAAGGACACTGTCTGCAGTGGGGTGACTGGTGCCATGAACATGGCCAAGGGGAC